CATTAAAAAGTGTCAAAGTAAACCGCGTGACGAGACCCAGTTGCTTTACATGAAGTCACCCCGACTAATGGAACCTAATACTGACATGACGAGTGATGACGAGTATGTATACCAATCGATGTCCACAGCACCCGAAGTGCCCGCACTGCCCGGTCTCATGCACTATCGCAAATTAGGAGAAGGAAGAAATTCATCAAAAGGAAAATATCGAGCAGAGGGAGATTTTTAGAATCGCAGCGGGATAGAATAACAGCATTCTCATTCAGGGTTTCAATCTCACATATTAGAAGCCAACTTCGTCCAGAATTGCGGAAGCACTTGAGCATTCTATGAGTTCGTGCCGCTTGGCGGGACATCACCAGCAACACTAGTCGAACTATTTGGGAAAAACCAGTAACTACAGCACTTAGCGGAACCTAATATTCAGCAAAATCGTAACCATTGACATAACATATACGGGTATAGTTCATGAACGTGGGTCGAAATCCCAAGTATGTTTCGTATTCCGGCATGCAGCTTATGAAGAAGTAAGACCGGTTGCGAACACTGGCTGTACAGCGTAGGAAATACCTAATACCTACCTGCCACAGCGACCCTGATACCGTTCGATTTTGATGTTCAGAGGTTGGAATAAGTAAAATAACTTTAACTTTGCGAAGAAACCCTACATGACACAACCTACAGCTTTTACCATGTTTCATTATTTGAAAACAAAAGTAACAATAGTAACAAACGAAGCTCAAAACAGTACCAACCTTTTTTGTGGGATCTGGATAGGTGCCAGAAAAGGGATCATTGGCGGTATCGTTAATTGTGCACAGAAGATCTGAGTTCCTCAATCTGTATCACGTCTTCAATGTCTTTCGCGCCTCACGCCTTCTCCACCTGAAAAATGGGGTGTATGCTATCTTGAAAGAAGTAAAACCAATACTCTTCAAGCTGGTCTTCCATTATACAAAAGGTAAAAGGATGGCGATGAGGAATTACTAGGGAGAAAAGCGAAAAACTGAGCCGAAACAACGAACGCAACCTACCGGTCTATGGGTGGTATTAAAAGCGCGCCGCAGACAAAGGGGTGGGGTTCCACAATGATGACGCTCAGTTTTTCTTGCGCAAGCAAATGGACGTCGTAAGGTTTATGAAGATAACGTGAATCAGATGAGATGTTCGAAAGGTAATTTATTCCATAAATTAATTAGGAATATACCGGAATGTTTTCAAGTCCTTGCCAAAACCGGATTTCGAAAAATCGATCATTTTCCAACTGGAACGGCATAGAATTTAATAATTTATATTTTCAAAGAAAGGTCCACGGCCAGCAATTCCAGAAATTACGTAACTCCTTCGATCGAGCTTGAAAGCTAGCTACGACAGTCTCAGGAATATATTCTAGAACGGCCTCGCAACCCAAAAAGAGGACATCTCAGCGAAGCCTCTTGATCTATTTGAAAGTGTACAAATGAAAGTTACGAACGAGTTCCAAATAGCTAAATATAGTAAGTTAACGAGCCAACTAAGCCAGAAAACGTCTCGAAACTACGGCAAGTGCTTTATTTCGGCGCAAAAATTGTAGTTCCACGGCATTCCCACAGGGGTTTTCTCTTCACAAAATAAAATGCCTACTTTTAAAATGTTTCCTGCTGTGTAGACAGGAAATGGACTTCCCATTACCGGATGAAATAAGTTTTTTAAAAACTGCGAGTACTTCAAGGTCCAATTCGAAGTCCCCGAAATATAATAGGGGCCATATGCCTTAGTGGACCCTTGCAATGCTGATTTGGACCTGAATAGAAGTTTCGTAGCAAAGGGAACCAACCTGTACTGCTCGAAGAGGCCGAGCCGCCGGCTGCGACGAGGTTCCAGCGGTGCACGCAGTTTAGCCAACGGCCAACGATCGATAGTGGGCGTGGAGGCTGGCTGCCGCTGACGCCGCGTCCGAGTTCCGGGCGGCTTCTGTGGAATTTCCTGGTCATTTCTTTTTCTTTTCTCTTATCGATTAGATTTTATGAGTTTTACAGTTATCGCGTATACCAATTGATGTTAGGAACACTCGTACACCCATTTCAATCGTCCCCAAATAGCGATGACTCATAACGGTCAGCTTGAATTTGAAGTCATATCGATTGCTGGAATCGTAGGGTGTTGCGCCATCAGTGGACATCGTTAGCGTTAATCACCATTGCCTTTTAAGGCATTCTTGTATTGTGAAATACTCTTCGTAAGGCTTTATCCGGCCCTATTTCTTACCCTCGATCCTCATAAAACTTTGCTAAAAGATCCGCATTCCCACTGGTTTCAGAAATCTGATCTAACCTTCAACATACCTGTTTTTGACTTTTTTCTCTACTTCTTTGAATTTGAAAGTACTACAATTCATTGAAGCGTCTTTTGGTCTGATCTTCTTTTCGTTTTCTTCAAAATTTGTTCAATTGTTGCATCTAATGCTCATATTTGTAGAGGAGACATCTGTGATTTCTCTAGTAACTGATCACCTTCACTTATTTTTCTTGATGTATTTGGGTTAACTTGTTAAAGAGAATTTCCCATTAACCCTCCTGTCTTTCTAATTTACTTAATACTCTAATTGTGATTGTTAAATCGTGCCAGAAACTTGTGCTAGTTCACCTGAACTACGGAAATGTTGGTGGCTTAGGCTAGCTACCGCAATCTAAAATGACACCATACTCGAATAGCAACCGATATATCTTTTCTGTTTGTTTCCTGATAGTAAATTATATCAATAAATGTGAACCATTCCGCTACTCCCAGGGATTACCCAGGTTGAGATGTCTCGAAGAAACGTCATATCCCGGAACTTCTCACCGTTGAAAAGCTCTCTACTTGATTCCGTAGATGTAGCACTTTCAGCAATGCTATCGAAATAAAGGGGGTAACAGCAATGCTCTTGACTCTTAGGATATTTTCAATATCGTCAATGTATAGGCGTTAGCGGAAACAAGTGAATCATCGTCTAGATCTCTATCCCGTGGAATCGAGTCGCCGCCATCGTCGCCTGGAATCGCTTTTTTTCCTGCTTTGTTTTTCTTTTTGATGGCATCTTGTTGATATCAATTTAATCCCAAGCGCTATCATTTCTCGGGCTATTGATTCTATGCTCGTTCCTTCTTCTACGAATTTTGTGGGTCGTTTCAATTCACTTCAACTGGCCAATCCTTGGGCACTTTGTACAACTTGATCGCTTCGAATTAACTGATTTGCATTAGCAAATGCTAGTGGTAGTGCGTATTTCCGAGCATTGTGGACGTAGCTGTGATTTTTTGTTATTTGCCATGACACTGCGAAAATCTGCTTGTCGAGAGAGCGTTATTGTTATAACCCATACAATGTTTTCGATACTTATAGAGTTTTACAGGAGAAGGCGTTTCCTCCATTGAATATCGACTGGAGCATCCTTTTGGGATGTCTTATGCCAAAAAGGTTAGTCCTTTTCAGCCATACCACTTCAATTGTTATATTCGTTTCTGTCTTATTAACATTTTCACCATCATCACATATTAGCAAATGATTGGTGTTTAGGTGCAACAGTGTCTAGAAAAGTCAAGTGCAAAATATGCCGACTCTGCGAAATCGGACATTCTCGGCGCTTTAGCCGAATTTAAGGATCTCTTGCCAGATACGGAAAGCTACACATTCCCAGATGGTAAACGCAAAACAGCTTTTCGCTTGCACGGAACTATTCCAGTGTTTTACAAGGTAAATTCTCACAAAATTTGTTAGGAATTAGTGCTGATTGGGAATCATCATTCATTCAGTCATTTTTCCCAGAAGATCGTAGGCTTCATTTTTGACTGTTTGGCATCTTTCAAGATTCATCATTGATTCATCATCACTTTTACCTTTCTAATTATATTCTTTCTACTCATTGGCCATTGTTTTATTGTTCAAATTCATCAGTGAATTCTGAAATCCTATTTTGTTTCATTTTTGAGATGTGCAGATTGAGTTGCTGAACTTCTTTTCCCGCGGTCACTTCTTTCTATGCCATTAATTTTGAGTAATTCACTTTGTAATTCGTTTTTTAAATCTCTTCCAATGCAGCGTTTATTATTGCAGGGCGCCAGATATAATATTCCTATATCAGTGTATTTGTGGGACACTCATCCATATTATGCTCCTATATGTTACGTATGTCCCACGCCGACGATGGTCATACGTGAGTCAGAGCACGTAACGAAGCAAGGTCGTGTATTTCTACCGTACCTAAATGAATGGCGGTTCCCGGGTTATGATTTGAACGGCTTGTTGCAGGTCAGCTACTTTATAGCCCTTTAAAACGCTCATTTCAAGGATTTTTGTTCTGATAATTCAGGTGATGGCGATGGTATTTCAAGAGAAATGTCCGGTATTTGCGAAGTCAACATCAGCATCTGCCAACAGCACTCCTACACCTTCTTCTGCCACCTCACAGCCAACACCATCATATCCCACGCCTTATCCGACCACAAATCCCTCGATGCCAACTCCATATCCGACTGTCATGCCACCTTATTCAGGGCAAACCCCCTATCCCACGGCAGGCACTCAATTTGGAAAGTGCGTTTATAAATATTCAATATTACTCAAAGTTGTCGCGTCATGCTATTTATCTGACCTTGTCTTCGTAGTGCTTTCATTTGGTGCTTTAGATTTTCATCAAGTATTCCACTCTATGGAATATTACTGATTAAGAATAACGTTCCTCTAATTGATCACTTTGTTCTCAAGTGAGGTCGATATGTGCAGTACCAAACGAGGATTTTGGTAGAACGGAAACTAGGAAGGGGATCAGGAGCTTAGTACCATCACTTAGCTCAGCTCTTATCAGAGACCCTACTTTTAACTTCAGGTTTGCCGTCCTAACACACCATTTTTCGCTATCTTCTTTCTTTGTGTCCATCATCGTTTCTCATCCTTTGCTATAAGCCTACTAGAAATAATAAACGATTAGGCCCTTTTCCGACGGACCTCAAAGTCCTTTCTCCTGCATTCTTCTGAATGCTCGCCATTGCAATAGCTGGTAATCTTCTAACTAAGCAGTGTTGTCGCCGACAAAGGTGTTTTCATTTTGATCGCTGTGATCGAAAGGCATTTAGTTCCTTTCCTTGAACAGCTTAACAATCGCGAGTTCTGATTTCTTTTCGCCTGTTTTAGTGCATATGTGAATACTCCATATCCACAACCGCCGATTCCAACTCGACCGACTCCACCAGTTCCACCAGTTCCTACTTCATCAACGGGTACGCTCCAGCCAGAGCATATTCGAGTATCAATAATTAGTGCCCTCGAGGATAAGCTGAGAATGCGGCTGAGAGAGAAAATGGGTAGGTACTCGTTCAATCCATTTTCTAGTTTTTGTAATGATTTCATCCAAGACAAAATTCCATATAAGTCTAGTTCCTTCATAGGCGATTATCGATCGAGCAGACTATATCGCCTCATCAATTGCTAAAACGAATAAATTTATTGCCCTCATGCCGCATAGAATATCTTCCATGAATTCTTACCTCAAAAATTATTCAGGCACGTCTCATGCAGAAATGGCTTCGATTCGAGAAACTCAATCTGAACTGCAAGCTGGTCAGCGAACTCTTCGCAACATGATAGAAGAACTCGAAAAACAGCAAAAGCTCCTAGAGTCCTTCATTTTCGCACATCAGGTATAGTAATCGCTGTTAAATTATCGAATTGGGGGCGGCGCGGATAAACAAGCGACGTTCTAAAGCAGGTTTTTGTATTGATCCAATAGCAATAGCAGTTTGCCTTACTCTACTAGTCTGAATGCAGTGTGTTTGTATGTGATGTGATATTATCGAATCCTCCTATATTGGTTTTTGTTGTAGGATAAAAAAGCCGAACTGACGCGAACGTTGGCAGAATGTGGCGGTGACAGCGAAAACAAAACGGTTGATATCGACCAAGCCATCGATGCGGCCACACCGTTGCATAGACAGATAGTGACGAATTACGCTCAAGACTTAGCATGTGATGACGTCATTTATGCACTCGGTATGTTTTTTCTGGTGTTTTTCGAGCTTACAATCTAGCTTACTGTATGCTTTATCATGGGAGTAGTCGAAAAAACTTTTTCGTATGGTACGGTATTAAACTAACCTTCCTGCTGCACACTAATTTTGTCCAATTTCTTCTGAACTCATCATAAACTTCTTAGAATTGCTGCGAGTAGTTCCAACTTCTGATTTCGAGTCCAGCTAACATTGTGTTCGATTTTGCCTCCCCAGTTTCTGTCAACACTGGATTTTCCATAGGAGTTTTCATACAATTTTCCACACGAATGTATTTTTCGACTTTTGAGAAGAAAAAAAAANAAAAAAAAACAGCGTGCAAATTATGAAAGTCGTGCTCATTAAGTTTGAATGGGTGTGAAAACGTGTCTCTCCAAAATTTGAGAGGTCAACTCCTAAAGAAGAATAAATAAAGGGCAGAATTGCTAGAGAATGCTGGGGTAATCAGTCGGAACGGATTAATGCAGCCTGAACAGTTTTTTTCAAAATAACAGCTCTCTATCCTTCATACCCTCTTTTCAGGGCAAGCTTTGAGGGAGAAGAAGATATCTGTTCAAGAATATCTGCGGTACGTACGAGATATCTCACGAAAGCAATTCATCTTTCGGGCCACAATGCAGAAGTGTCGAAAAGCGGCGGGTTTACCAATTTAATGCACTTTTCGGGGTGCACGGTCACTATTCACCTTTACAGTTGTATTTATTGTTTCCTTTTAACTTTCCATTGTGCTTGTTTTTGCCTTTCTTATAGGAAGACCGGTTGTGAGTCTTGCGCGCGTAGGTGTATCCTAACATTTCTAAACAGTAATCAGCTGGTGAATAGTCGCTTGTAATTCAATATCAGCTGCTGATTCATCTCATCTTCTAAGCGACATACTCTGCCCGTTTATAGTCGAGATCGTCTCTCCTCATTCGACTTATGTGATAATTTTAAATGTTTGTAAATCTCTACTACTGCGAGATTTTTTTCGTGCGATGTGTGTCCTTTTGTTCTTCGGCTCTGCTTAGTAAGCCTGATGGCTTCCGTTTTTGTTCCATTGAGACTACAGACCGGTCTTCGCGTTCTTCCTTTTATTATCCGAGTTCTATTTGCATAAATTTTTGAATGATGTCTCATCTATTCTACATTTGCCGTTATCGACGGGTTCTACTTTGTTTAGTCATTTTTCTTTTTTTTTGTAATGTGTGCCATGTGTTTATTTAACGACCAGTGACTTTCAGAGATATGCAGGCCATAAAGTGCGTTGTGGTAGGTGATGGTGCTGTCGGTAAGACGTGTCTTCTGATCTCATATACCACAAATGCATTTCCTGGGGAGTATATACCAACAGTGAGTATTATAAACTTCTTAAAATCTTCAATCGATAGGTAGATTATTTAGTTGCCTCTTAATGAATTGGTCCCCAAGATTTGCAAGGGTGCAGTTTAACCATGTAATTCGGTTAATCTTTTTCCGTATTTCGTCTATATCAAGAATTGGGTTCCTCTAGTGGTCGCTGTGGATAACATGTCATTTTTTATTTCAATTACGATTACTATCAATTACGATTATTATAGTTTGATAACAGCTCCTCGAAAGCGCAGCTCATTTTCTACGTTTCACTACTTCTAGGAATGATTTATGTGTGATTGTTTATTTGAGCTTGTGGCTACAAAATGTGGTGAAGCTCTATCTTGAAACAGTGCCGAAACTCGGAATTTTTAATGCAGTCGCGAGTGCTTCCCTCGTTAGTCGTTTGTTCATATTGAGTACCGCGCCGAATACGGATCCAGTTCTTTTTGTAACACCGCTCCTTCATTTTACACTAATTCTAAAAAATTTTATTTCTTGACTCGTCTGAACCCCAACTAATGTGGACTTCAGACATCAACTTGTGATTTACTTTTCATTTGATCAATTATTTTGGTTTACGCAATCTTTACCATTTCTCTTAAGCAGTTGTGTTTGTTCAAGGTGTTTGACAACTATTCTGCTAATGTAATGGTAGATGGTCGTCCAATCAACTTGGGCTTATGGGATACGGCAGGACAAGAGGATTATGATCGGTAGGTTTTCGTTTGCTTGGTACTAGCCCCTAGATGAGAAGATTGGTAAGCACACGCATACGTCAAATTTGGCTTGTTTTGCACATACTCCCAACTTTGCTTCCTGCTGTTGAACTCACCTAGAATGTCAAAGAGAGTAAAGAAATTTCGTGCTGCACTGTTATTGAATGCGATTCTTGTGTTGCTCTTTGCACAGTTTAAACACTTTAATTTTGCGATTATGTTCCCTTCCTTATTATTATACTTCAGTATTTTTGATATAGGGAGCTTTACACTTTAAAGTCATAGAATCCTGTAAAAAAGTACTTCAGTCAGTTTTTCTGAGGCCGAAGTATTATTTCGGTTGCAACATCGTCATGGACATAGAAGGGCGTTTGTGTTCGCTATTAGCAATCATTTTTTTAAAGGGAATACTTGAAACAAGTGGAAATCAGTCTGCTTGGGATGATTGTCAGATATTTACGCTGCAGTGCAGCGAAAAAAGTAACAATTTTGTGACTCATATTTTGAAATCTGAGCCCTCCTTATCAGTGTCAGTTATGACGTCAGACTATTCTTTGTAGTTGTACTTATTATACTCTTCAGAGAACTTTTTATGGGCGTTGCCTTATTTTAATAAAATTTAATCCTTGAAGCTTTCAGATTTGTGATAAGAACTATATTTTAGACTACGTCCTTTATCCTATCCTCAAACTGATGTGTTTCTCGTTTGTTTTTCACTCGTCAATCCAGCTAGCTTCGAAAACGTTCGCGCAAAATGGTGAGGTTGTGCTTTGCTGTAATTGCAAATGCTGTAAGGATTCTTTCATACGAAGTGTAACTAATCTATTTATTTCCAGGTATCCCGAGGTTTCACACCATTGCCCTACAACACCCATTATTCTTGTTGGAACAAAAGCTGATTTGCGCGATGATAGGGAAACTATTGAAAGGTATCGTTTTTCCTTTCGGTTTATGCCGTTCACTCTTAGGAACAGTATTTCATCAGCCTATTCCTCCTCTTTCTTTTGGTGGCCTTCGGTGTGAATTTAATTTTTTTTGAAGAATTTTGGCGAACCCATGGCTCGTTCGAATTTATTCTAAGTAGAAGTTAAGTATAGACGAAATTTTGAGATTCGCTATCCTGGAAAAACAAGCGGACCATTTTCTAGTCCCTGTAATTCGAGACTTTCGCAAGCAAATACATATATGCTGCGGTAAATTTTCAATTGGCACTTTATGTGACACTTGTTTATGTCTTCACCTTCAGAGAAACCTTAGTTGTTTTCTCAGAAGGGACGATAGTGTGTCGTATGCACAGAATATTTATACACGAAGTTTAATGTTCTTATTTTCGATATTTACGTTCTGATGAACACATGTTGCTGTCTTTTTTATATCATCTTCTTACATATTCTCAGAATAAATGGAGTTTACTGTAGGCATTAATGAGTAAGTGAATTCCGAAAGTAATCAAGTTCGAATTTTGGAAGTGTACTCTAACTTGAGCCTGTTACTGCTCTTTCCTCAAGTTGAGTTAGTGTTTTGCAGGCTTCGGGAACGCAGACTGACACCGATAAGCCAAACCCAGGGACTGGTTATGGCGAAAGAGATCAAAGCTGTTAAGTATCTCGAATGTTCTGCTCTTACTCAACGGGGTTTGAAGCAGGTGAGTCCTTTTCTCTGATTTCTTTCCTTTATTCAGTTACCACAAAGTTTTTTTTGTGAAGGTTTTTGATGAGGCTATTCGCGCTGTCTTATGTCCGCCTCAGAAGCCGAAAAAGAAGAAGTGTTCGATCTTGTAAGGGACCGTTGTGTTGTCGCGTGATCACTGGTATTTCACCTCTACTGGTTTGTTAACTAGCAATCTAGAGGTAATCTGCCAATCATTGCATCGCTTCATCTGTCGACAGTTTTCTTTTTTGATAGCGAATTTTATTCCTCTCTATATCCTCCCCTTTTATTTCAAATTCGTCTGTTTTGCGCAGCTGAGCCATTACAGTCGAAGGCTGGGTACGTTTACCCAGCAATGTTCCACTGCCGAGGTATATGTTCATATTTAGATTTCTTGAGTAGATTTATATTATTATGCTGCACATTGACATTCGCTCTGTCTTATGTATGTTTTGATGGTTGATCATCGGCGGATCGAGATCGATTTTTAAGCAACATTTTCCTATAAATCGTTATTGTGCATTATCATTTGTGGTTTGTGTGCATGCGAAATCTATGTGTCACTTCAGTATAGTCCTTATAAGTTATCGCTCGTTGACAGTGTCATCAACGGCAGTCCATAAATTTCACAGTCAAATATTAAACATTCACATAAGCCTAAACACTGTTGTTCTACTTAAATTAATATGTATTTTTTAACGAACGAATTTTGAAGATTCCCTTATATGGAGGTGTGGCTGTTCCAGTTCATGGGTGTATTCGTAGGCTTTTGTTAAACGAATGCTGACCATGATCCGATTATGAAATCCTATAGGCTACATATGTTGAATTGGATACATCATTTTTTTTCTCTTATAGTGAGCTAATCTGAAAGTTACCGGATAATCGTCGTTGCCTTTAATATGTAGATTGTTTGATTTGAATGAGTTTCCTCTCGTCTCTTGTCCTGATGTGCGAAATTTTGATTGGACGAATAAATTTTTATGGTGCTCTTGTGTGCGATGCGATGGCCATCGACATAATAGGATCGATGAGTGGAAACGATTAGTTGTGGCGTGGAATGCGGTTTCCTTTCGAAGGGCTTGTATACGTTGTAACCCTCCTGTCGCAGGCTTGACCGGTTAGGTGGAGGTGGTGTAGTAAGTGGAAAGGGTACAACATCTCTTCAACTCAAATCGGCCAGCGAGCGATTTCTTTCTTCAAGATTGGGGTTAATTCCAGAGTAACTGACAAATTTGTCGGAAAATAAGAAATTTCTGCGCAGAGAAGCTCATAAGTGCTGCAAATTGATCCATTTACGGGGTACGCACAATTCACTTCGCCGGTACATACGGCGACCTTAACAGCTCCAAAGAAATGTCGAGAGCATGGCTCATCTCTGAGAAGTATGTAGTGTGGCCCATTTGCCATTTATACTTCAAGGTTTCCTTCCGGCTGGCTACCGCTTGCCATCATGCCGCCGCGCTTTTTCTGCTACATTTTCGGTGTTTGTCTCTTAACTCATGCTAACAATAAGGGGGACGGAACATTCACCCAGAACTGGATGGACGCGGCAAATGGCGCGGCAAGATTCGTGGCGTTTAGGACGACTTTGGCACCTATCATTGGGGCTCAAACTTGAAGTAGAGTACATTAGTGTGGTCAGATGATCGTAATGATAGACTCTAGTTCAAATTTGGGCCCAATGATAGATGCTGAAGTCCTTTAAATCGCCACAAATTTCGCCGCGCGATTTGCCGCGTCCATCCAGTTCTGGGTGAACGTACCCATACCCAACAATAAGTCGTCACTCACAGAATGGCCTCATGTATTGCAGGATTTTCTCCATTGCATGTTAACTTCCTACCGAATTCCAGCCTACACATAGGACCCACTCCATTCTTCGAAAGCGTCAGCGTTGAATACGATCATCTTTTCTCGAAAGACTAAACACTAACCATAAATAGGGGAAGTTCCTCACCACATCGGGGATCGATTTCCGAATCGAGGTTCGCCCATTCCAACGAAGCCTTGTACCCATTCAATAGATTCGGATAAGACTTGCCTGGGAGATAACGAGCGCTGGCTTGTGTAACGGTTGGCCACCAAGGTCATTGTACAGATCACATATCTATTCAAAACATCACTACGATTCCGAGTGAAGTCGAATGCACGGCGCATCCCAGGAATGAGATCGAATAGCTTTAAAAGATGCATTTCTATCCTTTATTATTGTATTTGGGAACAGTACTCTATTGAACATGGGCGCTATATTTAGAGCAGGAAAAATAACAGGGAGGAATGGTGGGTGGGAGTTCGTCGGCTATTCTTTCAAGAACGTATTCGTGCTTTTATCTTAGTATTAAAACTAGTTATATCGAGCAGAGCTTTTTTAATGAAGCGCCCAAGGCTGTCCAGTATACCGTCAGAGCATCCCATTGTATTGCATGTATGCTCAATTTCACCTCAGCTGTACGGGCCTTTGATACTGGTAATCTACCAGATATACCTTGATGGGAAGCTCATCGACTCAGAACTGATCAATAAAACAGATATCTCATACCAGTGTCACTCTGTATAGAGGTTGAATGCGAAGTGCATGGCTTACTCAACACAGCACTGAACAACGTCGAGCTCGCTATGCCCACAGCTCTAAATTAACCTAAAATCTACAAGTAGATCTAACCAAATACCATAAGTGGGTCTGAAAAAACCAAACGATACATTGAGTTTGCAACGTTTCCTAAAACAACCAAATTTGGCACAGCAATCAGTTTGTGGTGAGCTGAGACATGTTCATTGAATTTATCCCATTTAGAAATGCAATTTCAATGGCAGCTGCCGGAAGAGCGCACTGCCGGCCAAATGATGAAGTCATAGGGGTTAGCTGCAGACGGGATTTCTCGGAAAATCGCCTAACGGAAGGAAGAGGGGGTGCAGAACACTATAGAGTGAATTCGTAGGAATTCTGGGAATGTTACTGAAAGCCTATAGCGTATTTAGTTCTCTTCTTTGAATGTTTTCGTGATGGCCCATTCTTGGATGATTTCCTTCAACCAGCTTGATGGTGGGAGCACTGTCCCGAACGTGCTTGAGGAAGTGGCTCAATCAAAATTCTGCTGGAACCGGGCCAAGAATTTGAATGACTGCCATAGGAAGGTAGAGATGGGGTCTCTGAAATTATCATCGCTCTTTTTCAATGGGATTGTTCTTTTTAGCGCAGTACCGTAACGACCACGTAACCTCGGGTAGCTCGCTTAAAGGATCAATGGCTCCTCTGGAACACGCAGTCAAGCCACGCTGGCAAGGACACAGTTGCGTAGGCAATTCTGAAAGCTTCATCAAGACTGATTCTGGAGCTGATCGAGCGACATTGCGAGTCGCGCATTATCTAGACCGAATAGCACCTATCCGGATGTCACAGCCCCATACAGGAATTATGAGCTTCTTGTTTGTACATTATCCGTTGTTTGACGTTGATCCTTTTAACGCATATCAGGCTTGTTACCCATTCAATAAATCATGTGAAGGTGAACGGACGGCACGGCTCACTTTTTCTGATACTGATAATAACGGAAAGGGGTCCGGCGCCTTATATGTTAGAGTGAGATATGACCCAAGAGCCAAAGGCCAGAGCTACGGGAAAACTAGTTTTGAGGGAGTCAACGTGATGCTGAATGTTTCAGGAACTCCGAGAGCAAATTGTGCCAACCCGCCTACAAGAGGGATCAGCCCGCCCTCTTTGAGAGGCAAGTCCGTGGGACGTAGGAGCTACATAGTATTTCATCAGTCGTTTAGGCGGACATATTACCGTTGTGCCGTCAGGACCAGCGTCTTGGATACAGCAATTAGGTTTGGGAACGATTCACTTTGTAATTCTCATTTCTACACTCCTCACACCACATAACACCTCAGAACTTCAGCCAGGCACTTTTAAGAAATCAGCCCCTCAAAAAAAANGGGGGGGGGGGGGGGGGGGGGGGGTGCTATAGGTAGCAAGCTGCAGTTCACTCTCTTCTTCTCAGAAACGTTACAATTCTTGGGATACTTCAGCCAGCCTCAACTGAAACAAGGGCAACGGAAGACTTCTCAAAGTTGATAGTTCTGGGAACCAACCAGATATTTGCAGACAACTTCAGTTACTAGTCAAAACAATGTACAGTTGGAAAAGAAAATTGCAAAAATTATTTTCTGTGATCTTCATTTTTCAGTTTCATGTGCATGGTGATCGGTTTTGATCTCCCGCGTCGATGCGGCCGACCCCTCGTTTCGGGGGAGCTCCCTGAAGTCGTCTGTGCTCTCCTCATTTCCTACAGTGTCTGATTTTTTTGTCAGTCCCTCGATTTCGAAAAGACGATTTATTTCCCTGCGCTCATCGGCTCGGCGTCGAGATCAAAACGAATGCCTCCCCTAAGTGATTGGAAGATCTGAAGATCAAGGAGAAACCTTCCGGAATGTTCGGTATACAAATTATGTACTACTGTATAGAGCACACTGTACTCATTCCAAATATGGATTTATTTTTTTAAAAATCTAAATTTTTAGGTTGTTTTTTGTGGTGTATCTTCCCTTACCCTTCTATCGTTTTTTTCCTAACTACTCTAGAAGAACCGAAGTGGAAGGGAGGGTCAGTCGCTTTTGTGGGGGATCTTTCGTGTCCTAGGCACCAGACTTACAGGCCTGGTGTATCCGAACACATATTCAGCCTATGCATCGGCTCAAGGGGAGCGACCAGTATAGGGATTGTTCTAGACAATCGGACATTAGTCGTAAGGCCATTCGACCATCTGAGCTTTTCAAGCTTTTCAACTGAGCGAAATCTTGTTTGGGAGCTGATCTATGGACCACTAGTGTAGTACTTCTTACGGCCCCGTGGGTATCCAGTGCATGAGTATGCCATCAGTACAACAATATATCCCTTCTTGAAGGCCACAAGGGTACTCTCCATCTCCACTACTTTTTTAGGAGTGCTACATGGATCTCGAAAAGTTGTGACCATTTCCTTTCCTGTCCTTCCTCAGTGCAATGGCAACCAACCGAAATCGTAAAGGGCAATCAAGTAAGATTTTTTCTGCAACAATGGTTTCGATAGAGATCTAAGGAAGGAATTAAAGTGGATTAGTTTTATTGAATTTCTGCTGAAGTTAATGTT